CTGAAGCATGAGAATCGCTTGAACTGGGGAGGCAGAGGTTGCAGTGAGCCAAGATCGCACCAATGCACTCCAGCCTGGGCAACAGGGTGAGACCCTGTCTCAAAATAAAATGAAAAAAGAATTATTTGCAGTTGGGCACAGTGGCTCATGCCTGTAATCCCAGCACTTTGGGAGGCCAAGGCAAGTGGATAGCTTAAGGCCAGGAGTTCAAGACCAGCCTGGGCAACATGGCAAAATCCTATCTCTACAAAAAAATAAAAATAAAATTAGCCAGGTGTGGTGGTGCATGCCTGTAGTCCCAGCTACTTGGGAGGCTGAGGTGGGAGAATCACCTGAGCCTAGAAGGTTGAGGCTGCAGTGAGCCGTGATTATGCCATAACACTCCAGCTTGGGGAAGACAGTGAGACCCTGACTCAGAAAAAAAAAAAAAACAACTTGAGCCGGGCATGGTGGCATGTACCTGGAATCCCAGCTACTTAGGAGTCTCAAAGAGAGAGAGAGGGAGAGAGAGAGAATTATTTGCGCACATTAGGTGGCTATTACTTAGAAAATAACATGTGGCCAGGTGCAGTGGTTCATACCTATTATCCCAACACTCTGGGAGGCCGAAGTGGGAGGATCACTTGAGCCCAGGATTTCAAGATCAGCCTGGGCAACATAGTGAGACCCTGTCTCTATTAAAAAAAAAAATTTTTTTAAAGAAAAAAAACAGAATAGTCCAGGCGCAGTGGCTCATGCCTGTAATCCCAGCACTTTGGGAGGCTGAGGCAGGTGGATCACCTGAGGTCAGGAGTTCAAGACCAGCCTGACTAACATGGAGAAACCCCATCTCTACTAAAAATACAAAATTAGCTGGGCGTGGTGGCGGGTGCCTGTAATCCCAGCTACTCAGGAGGCTGAGGCAGGAGAATCACTTGAATCCTGGAGGTGGAGGTTACAGTGAGCCGAGATCACGCCATTGCACTCCAGCCTGGGCAACAACAGTGAAACTCCATATCAAAAAAAGAGAAAAAAAGAAAAGAAAAAAAACAGAATGAAGAAAATACCAAGTGTGGCAAGGATGTTGAGAAAATGGAACTCTTGTGCACTGTTGGTGAGCATGTAGAATGGTACAGCTGCTATGGAAAACAGTTTAGCAGTTCCTCAAAAAATTAAACCTAGAATTACCATATAAACTCAGCAGTTCCACTTCTGGGAATATGCTCAAAAGAGCTAAACTTTAGGTGGGGGGACTGTAACAGATATTTGTACACCAATGTTCAGAGCCACATTATTTGCAATTACCAAAAGCTGAAACTATCCAAATGTCCGTTGATTAATGAATGGATAAACAAATTATGCTATACTCATACAATGGAATATTATTCAGCCTTAAAAAGGAAGGAAATTCGACTGAGTGTGGTGGCTCATGCCTGTAATCCCAGCACTCTGGTAGGCCAAGGCAGGCGGATCACCTGAGGTCAGGAGTTCAAGACCGGCCTGGCCAACATGGTAAAACCCTCTCTCTACTAAAAATACAAAAATTAGCTGGGCCTGGTGGTGCACACCTGTAGTCCCAGCTACTCGGGAAGCTGAGGCATGAAAATCGCTGGAACCCAGGAGACGGAGGTTGCAGTGAGCCGAGATTGCACCACTGCACTCCAGCCTGGTCGACACAGCCAGACTGTCTCAAACAAACAAACAAACAAAAAACAAACAAAAGGCCAGGCACGGTGGCTCATGCCTGTAATCCCAGCACTTTGGGAGGCTGAGGCAGGCAGATCACAAGGTCAAGAGATCGAGGTCATCCTTACCAACATGGTGAAACCCCGTCTCTACTAAAAATACAAAAATTAGCAGGGCGTGGTAGCGCGCACCTGTAATCCCAGCTACTTGAGAGGCTGAGGCAGGAGAATTGCTTGAACTCAGGAGGTGGAGGTTGCAGTGAGCTGAGATCGCACCATTGCACTCCAGTCTGGGAACAGAGCAAGACTCCATCTCAAACAAACAAACAAACAAACAAACAAAAACACCACACATAGGAATAACTAAACTAGGGAGCAGCCACTTCCTCTCGGGCTAAAGCCAAACTCCCGAGGAAGACAAAAATTGGGAAGAAGGACTTGCTTGCCCAACCTGCTCCCCACCCAAGATTAGAGTTTCACTGTAGAGGTATGGCCATGGCCCACTGGGTGACTGAGAAGTTCACTGAGGTGCAACCAGCCACTGAAATTTGCTAGGGGGAGGGGTAAACGTCACTGGGTGTCCAGTGCAGGGCTGGTCCCTGTCCATCACAACATCCCGCTGAGAGGGGCCCGTGAGAATGAGGAAGAGAAGCCCCTAAGAATCAGGAAGAGCCCCATCCTCATTCAGTGTTCCTCCAGCGCCCTCTGCTGACAAGGCTTAACACTGAGCTAGCTGGCAGAGGAGAAATGTTGACAGGGTCCAGCTCCAATATCACAAACCGGGAGAGAGGCCTGAAGTTGGAGCCACCAGCCTGTAAACTGATAACTGGTACAGGGTGGTTGTTAGAATGAAAGCCAGTGAATGAATTGGATGTGGTGGCTTATGCCTGTAATCCTAGCACTTTGGGAGGCCAAGGCAGGAGGATGGCTAGAGGCCGGGAACTCCAGACCAGCCTGGGCACCGCAGTGAGACCCCATCTCTACAAAAATTTTAAAAAATTAGCTGGGCGCAGGCCAGGTGTGGTGGCTCATGCCTGTCATCCCAGCACTTTGGAAGGCCAAGGTGGGTGGATCACCTGAGGTCAGGAGTTTGAGCCCAACCAGGCCAACATGGCAAAACCCCATCTCTACTAAAAATACAAAAATTAGCCAGGCATAGTGGCACACTTCTAGTCCCAGCTACTTGGGAGGCTGAGGCAGGAGAATTGCTTGAACCCAGGAGGCCGAGATTGCAGTGAGCCAAGATAGAGCCACTGAACTCTCCAGCCTGGGCAACAGAGTGAGACTCCATCTCAAAAAAAAAAAAAAAAAAAAAATAGCTGGGTGCATGTGGTCTAGCTACTTCAGAGGCTGAGGTGGGAGGATCACTTGAGCCTGGGAGTTGGAGGCTGAAGCTGAAGTAAGCTGTGATTGCAACAGTGTACTGCAGCCCAAGTCACAGAGCGGAATCCTGTCTCAAAAGGAATCCTGTCTCAAAAAGAATTAAATGCAATGAATACTAACAGAAGGTAATTGTGAACGTAATTGTTTCCTCTTCTGAACAGCCTGTGGTCTCCTGAAATTCAAAACCGTGAACTGGCTCCTTGATGAGGTCCCTTTCCACTAGGTAACATTCTGTGGCTCCCCACAGAAATAAAGAGGTGAACCTCGATCGGGTGTGGTGGCTCACGCCTGTAATCCCAGCACTTTGGGAGGCCAAGGCAGGCAGATCATCAGAGGTCAGGAGTTCAAGACCAGCCTGGCTAATATGGTGAAATCTGGTCTGTACTAAAAATACCAAAAATTAGCCAGGCGTGGTGGCGAACGCCTGTAATCCCAGCTGCTGGGGAGGCTGAGGCAGGAGAGGCTGAGGCAGGAGAAACGCTTGAAACTGGGAGGTGGAGGTTGTAGTGAGCTGAGATCGTGCCATTGCACTCCAGCTTGGGCAACAAGCAGGAAACTCCGTCTCGGAAAAAAAAAAAAAAGGTGACCCTCAAAAGTGGGCAGTGAAAAGTAAAAAGAACAGAGATTTTTTATGTCCAGACACCTGGGTTCAATTCCAGCTTCCTCCAGGTAGTAAAGCAGTGCCTGCTGGACATGGTGCCTGTGATCCCAGCACCTTGGGAGGCTGAGGCAGGAGGATTGCTTGAGCCCAAGAGTTCAAGACCAGCCTGGACAACACAGTGGAACCCTATGTCTACTAAAAATAAAAATAATAAATTAGCCAGGTGTGGTTGCGTGCACCTGTGGTCTCAGCTACTCGGAAGGCTCTTAAGCCTGGGATTTCGAGGCTGCAGTGAGCTGTGATCACACCACTGCACTCCAGGCTGGGCGACAGAGCAAGATTTGATCCCAAAATAAATAAATAAGTAAAGCAATTCTGGCTGTACTAATAGATCAGCCTCAGAATTTCAGTGGCTGAACCCAAGTTTGTTTCTTGTTCCTATAAACTCTAGTTGGTGTGGGAAGGGTGGAAGGAAGTGGCGGGGAAATCCATGCTTTCCCAGACATTTGGTTCCTTCCGTCTTACGGCTCTGCCATCCCCGGGAGTCCCAGATTCTCCTCTGGAGTCTCTGTATCCAGGAGCAGAGAGACTGGGGAGTCACATGGTGTGCGTTTATGGGCCAGGCCTGGAAATAGCCACACATCACATCACCACCACCTACACTTCCTTGGCCAGACCCAGTCTCTTGGCCCCACACATAGCAGCAGGGGAGAAGAGAAAAGGTCATCACGCCATATTCCCAGCAGAAAACTGAAATGGGGTTGGGTGGACGGCTCGCCAGTCTCTGCCCTGCACCACTTTCCTAGCACTGTCCCCTTGGACGAGCGACATGGTTTCTGTGAGGCTCAGTTTCCAGCTCTGAAAATGAGGTTAAGCAACCCTGCCTTCTCCGCCAGCTGTAAGGAATCAGTGTGATAAAATACGTGGTAAATTGCTCAATAAATGCTGTCAGGCTGGGTGCGATGGCTCACACCTGTAATCCCAGTACTTTGGGAGGCCGAGGGGAGTGGGGGACAGATCATCTGAGGTCAGGAGTTCGAGACCAGCCTGGCCAACATGGGGAGACCTCGTCTCTACTAAAAATACAAAATTAGCCAGGTGTGGTGGTGGGTGCTTGTAATCCCAGCTACTCGAGAGGCTGAGGCAGGAGAACCGCTTGAGCCTGGGAGACGGAGGTTGCAGTGAGCCAAGATCGCACCACTGCACTCCAGCCTGGACGACAGAGTAAGACTCTGCCTGAAAAAAAAAAAAAAAGGCAAATTGCTCAATAAATGCTGTTGTGATTATTCTGATGATATCCTCCCTCTTCAGCCCTCCCGCACCCAAATAATCTGCTCGATTTCTCCCAACAGGCACGACCTGGATGATCGAGATCATCTGCTTAATCCTGAAGGACGGGGATCCGTCCTGGATCCGCTCCGTGCCCATCTGGGAGCGGGCACCCTGGTGTGAGACCATCGTGGGTGCCTTCAGCCTCCCGGACCAGTACAGCCCTCGCCTCATGAGCTCCCATCTTCCCATCCAGATCTTCACCAAGGCCTTCTTCAGCTCCAAGGCCAAGGTTGGGAGGAGGGGTGTGCGTCAGTTGGGAGGGGCTGCATGGGTGTGTGGGGTGACAGGGAGACGGAGCATAACACATTGATTCATTCAGCACCTATTTGTTAAGCACCTACTATGTGCCTGTCTCTGCTCTAGTGCAGTGGTCAATATAGACACAGAAATGCCTAGCACAGTGATCAATATACACACAGAAATGCCTGCCCTTTGGCAGGGAGTGATGGCTCACACCTGTAGTCCCAGCACTTTGGGAGGCTGAGGCAGGAGGATCACTTTGGGCCAGGAGTTTGAGACCAACTTGGGCAACATAGTGAGACCACGTCACTACAAGAAATTTTAAAAATCAGTCAGGCGTGGTGGCACACCCTTGTAGTCCCAGCTACTTGGGATGCTGAGGTGGGAGGATCACTTGAGCCCAGGAGGTCAAGGCTGCACTAAGCTGAGATCACATTACTGCACTCCAGCCTAGGCAACAGAGCAAGGCTCAGTTTCAAAAAAAAAAAAAAGCCGGTGCTGGCGCGGTGGCTCACACCTGTAATCCAAGCACTTTGGGAGGCAGAGGCAGGCAGACCACCTGAGGCCAGGAGTTCAATACCAGCCTGGCCAACATGGTGAAACCCTGTCTCTACTAAAAATACAAAATTACCTGGGCGTGGTGGCGCACACCTGCAATCCCAGCTACTCGGGAGAATCACTTGAACCTGGGAGGCGGAAGTTGCGGTGAGCTGAGATTGTGCCATTGCACTCCAGCCTAAGCAACGCGAGTGAAACTCTCAAAAAAAAAAAAAAATATATATATATATAATATTACATGTCATAATATAAAAGCATTACAATATACTTTATATTTAATATTTGTATATTTAATATTTATATAATATATTTAATATATAATATATAAGAATATAATACAATATAATATATAAAATGTCTGATGGGATAAATTTACACTGGGGGGAGAGGGCTGGAGATAGAGTTAGGGGTGAGTGTGGGGCTGCAATTATAAAAGGAGGTCAAGGGGGCGCCCAGTGAGTAAAAACCCGGGAGGCGATGGTAGGAGCCACAGAGGTTTCCAGAGGAAGAGCATTTCAGACAAGAGGGAAAAGCAGGTGCAAAGGTCCCGAGGTGGGTGTATCTGAGGTGCAAGAAGGAGATCGGTGTGGTCGGAGCCAAGTGAGCAAGTGGGGAGAGGAGTGCAGTTGAGGTCGAGGTCGGGGGCAACAGGGGCCAAAATGTGCAGGGCCGCGTGGGCCCAGCGAGGGCTTGAGCTGTGACCCAGTGACGAGGCCGCGCAGCAGGGATCGGAGCGGAGGAGGAGCCCGAGCGGGCTTAGGCTTCACCGGCGCCCTCTGGCGGCCAGATGGGGACCAACTCTTGAGAGAGCAGAAGCAGGGAAGCCAGAGAGGCGGCGCTGGCCAGGGTCCAGGGGAGGGGAAGGTGGCTGGACCAGGGTGGTGGTCACGGAGGTATTTTGAAGGTGAGACCGGGAGGATTTGCTGACAGACTGGATGTGGGTGTGAGAGAAAGGGATGAGTCAAGGGTGACTCCAAGGTTTCGGTGGAAGCAACTGTCAGGATTGGGCAACTGGGAAGGGGAGGAGGGAGGGGAGGAGGGAGGGGAGCAGGCGGCGGGGGAAGACACGGGCTCTGTTGCGGCCCATCCCACGTCCAACGGAGGCTGCCGGTGGGCACAGAAATGCACCCATCAGGATCTCAGGGGAGAGACCTCAGCTGACACGTCCATTTGCAATTCCGTGGCACATATATTCTGTAATTAATCGAAGCCCCAGGAATTGAGCTTGGTCAGAGCAGAGAGGGGAACTGTTATGGGAAGTCCCCAAGACCACCCTCAGGCTCAACAACTTAGCAAAACTCATAGTGTTCAGCAAAGCTGGTGGACTCCCTGGTTATAGTCAATTACAATGAAAGCAAACTTGGAAATCAGGCAAGGGGGCTGGGCGCGGTAGCTCACGCCTGAAATCCCAGCACTTTCAGAGGCCAAGGTGGGCAGTTGATTGAGCCCAGGAGTCCAAGACCAGCTGGACAACTTAGTAACACCCATCTCTACAAAAAAAATTAAGAATTAGTTACATGGAGTGGCATGCACCTGTAGTCCCAACTACTTGGGAGGCTGAGGTGGGAGAATCACTTGAGCCTGGGAATTTGAGGCTGCAGTGAGCCATGATTGTGCCACAGGCACTCCAGCCTCAAGGACAGAACAAGACCCTGTTTCTTTCGTGTTTTGTTTTGTTGGTTTTTTTTTGAGACGGAGTTTCCCTCTTCTTGCCCAGGCTGGAGTGCAATGGCACGATCTCGGCTCACTGCAACCTCTGTCTCCAGGGTTCAAGCAATTCTCCTGCCTCAGCCTCCCAAATAGCTGGGATTACAGGCACCCACCACCATGCCCACCCACAGCGCCTGGCTGACAAGACCTTGTTTCTAAAAAATAAGACTAGGCTGGGCACAGTGGCTCATGCCTGTAATCCCAGCACTTTCGGAGGCCGAGGCGGATGGATCACTTGAGGTCAGGAGTTCCACCTGTAGCCCCAGGTACTTGGGGTTGAGGCAGGAGAATCACTTGACCCTGGGAGGCAGAGGTTGCAGTGAGCTGAGGTCGTGCCACTGCACTCCAGCCTGGGAGACAAAAGCGGGACTCCATCTAAACAAACAAACAAAAAATTCCAAGTCATTAGGAAGTATCTTCAGGACCTAGGGCCAAGGGCCAGGCCTTTCTCTGGGCAGAAAGGAATCCTCTATCAGCACAGGAATCAGGAGGGAGCTGGGCCGCCAACATCATTACAAGGCCTTCAACACCAGAAGCCACATTTCTCTAAGTCTGTTTTCATTTAGTTTTTGTGGATCAGGGGGTGTTTTTTTGTTTGTTTTTTTTGGTTTTTTTTTTTTGGTTTGTTTGTTTTTGAGGCAGGGTCTTGTTCTGTCATGTAGGCTGAAATGCAGTGGCATGATCACAGCTCACTGCAGCCTCGATCCTGGGCTCGAGTGATCCTCCTGCCTTACCTCCCGAGTAGCTGGGACCACGGCACGCACCCACCACACTCAGCTAATTTTTGTATTCTTTGTAGAATGGGGGTCTCGTTTGTTGTCCAGGCTGATCTCGAACTCCTGGGTCAAGTGATCCGCCTGCCTCGGCTCCAAAGTGCTGGGATTACAGACGTGAGCCACCGCAGCTGGCCAGTGTTCTTTCTCAGCCTCCTTCCCCTTCATGCCTTCATCATCCCCTCAAGCAATTTCTACAGCCTCCTGTGTGTGGGGCTCTGGGTTAAGGCTCTAGGAACGAGTAAGACCGCCCTGTCCTCAAGGGGTTCCTCACCCTATGAGTAACCACATGGTAAAGCCCATCTGTATTAAAAATACAAAAATTATCCGGGTGTGGTGGCACGCTCCTGTAATCCCAGCTACTCAGGAGGCTGAGGCAGGAGATCGCCTGAACCCAGGAGCCAGAGGTTGCAATGAGTGAGATGGCACCACTGCACTCCAGCCTGGGCAAAACAGAGTCAGACTCTGTATCAAAAAAAAAAAAAAAAAAAGAAAAAGAAAAAAGGCCGGGCGCGTGGCTCACGCCTATAATCCCAGCACTTTGGGAGGCTGAGACGGCAGATCACCAGGTCAGGAGATTGAGGACTATCCTGGCTAACACAGTGAAACCCCGTCTCTCCTTAAAAATAACAAAAATTAGCTGGGCGTGGTGGCGGGCACCTGTAGTCCCAGCTATTCCGGAGGCTGGAGCAGGAGAATGGCCTGAACCCGGAGGCGGAGCTTGCAGTGAGCCAGATCGGTGCCACTGCACTCCAGCCTGGGCGACAGAGCAAAACTTCATCTCAAAAAAAAAAAAAAAAAAAAAAATTCTGCCCTTAGTCTTCCTGCTTCAGGGTCAGAAGAGAGGGGTCTCCAGGGCGGAGGCCTTTAAGGGACTGGGGTCCTGCCTGCGTCTGACGCCTTCTCCCCTATCCCG